TTCGGTCCACTCAAGCTATCAGACCGCGCACGCGGAACCAGGGCTAAAAGGTGAGTGCGAGCAGACGAACTTCAGCCATCGATGAAAATATTGTCGTGCCTAGAGCTGTCTGAAACTATAGCTGTCCGAAACTATAGCTGTCTGTAACTATCGTAATTCAATGCAAGGATAGCAAGCCATCAGACCGGTTGAATATCCGTCTAAAGGATGAGCAGGGAACGCTTGCTCGGAGGGGACTTCTGTCCGGAGGAGATTTCACCAGATGCTGGGGTCTTTTTTCGAGAAGCTCGTTGCACAATGATCCGAAGGGTACTAATCCCACCAAGGGAAGACGAGTGCTCAGGGCAGCCTGCTGGTGTTGGGTTGTCCTGCTTTGCTTGTGACAGGCTATGCGAGGAGCATGAAAGGTGGGAGTTTTGGGGGACTTTTTTTTGGCGGAATCAAAGTGGTAAATGATGTCTGAGACTAAGGTGAAATTTTGTGCGGATCCTGTCAAGTTGTTACGGGAGACTGCAGTGGCGGCTGAGGCGAAGAGTGCATTGCCGGATGAGGCGTGTGTATTGACGACGGCTCCTGAAGGTTATGAGTTAGACTTAGGTTGCTTGGACGAGTTGCAGGCGATTTTGGAGAAGTTGGGGACTCCATACCTTTCGGGAACTGATAGGTCTTGTGGCACTGATTTTCTGTGGCGTGACATACTGCAAAATTGGGTGGCAACTGCGGAAGGTCGTGACAAGGCGAAGTACCGTTTTATTTTACGGTGGATTAGCCGCATGGGCCGGACTCCAGTGCTGGGGGAAGGTGAGGTGGTTGTGGCCAAGAAGCCAAGAGATTCCTCGCCAAAAGATTCCTCGCCCAAGAGAAGCGTTTCGGACCCGACGCGATGGAAGATGGTGGTGGGCAAGGTGCTGAAAGTTTGGGAGCATGACAACTCGGATAAGTTATGGTGCGAAGAGATTGACCTAGGCGAGGAGTCAGGACCGCGTCGCATTGGCTCGGGGCTGCGTCAATTCGTAAAAAAAGAAGACTTCGAGGGCGCCCTTGTTATCGTCCTCGCCAACATGAAAGAGAAGAAACTAGGAGGCTTCCCCTCCCATGGCATGGTCGTATGCGCCTCCAACGATTCACACGATGCTGTCGAGCTCCTCATACCTCCCACAGGCTCACAAGTCGGCGATCTCGTCACCTTCCAAGGCCTCACCGGCCAACCTGATGATATCCTAACATCCAAGAAGAACGCTGACACCATCGCCTCCGTTATGGACATACTAAAAACCGATGATAACTGCATCGCCACCGCCGGCGACGGACATCAATTTCTCGTTAGAGGACTACCAGTGACCAGCAAGACACTCAAAAACGCCCATGTTGGATAGACTTGACTCGCGCGCGGGTCATGCTCAAGTCTCACCGGTCAAGTCCTACCTGTGTTCACTGTCGTCATGTCCTACCTGTGTTTGTTCACTGTCGTCATGACATGACGACAGTGACATG